TTTCTACAATTACATGTTTCCATACTAAATTTATTGTTAGTCACATGGAATTTACTTAAAAAGTCATTATGAGAGTTGATAATTTTGTACATGTTACTGGTTCAAGAATAGCTTATTTTGATCGTTTTCCTATTGAAGTTCTTAATTAGAGGGTTGTTTTTGTCAGAAAATGCTGTCCGATATTAGTATTGGATAATTTACAGAAGTCGGTCTGAACATATATAATTTTTTCTTTTCTATTTCTATGCCTACAACCCATTTTAGAAACTTCAGTAATACTTATAGGATCATATATATATATATATATATATATATATATATATAATGCGCAATAAAATCTAGAATCACCTCATATGGGTAATAATTACGATAGTCTTATTCAACCCTGGTATAGAAAATGTTGTCTATACAGCGGTTGAAGAAGATTGACGAATATTTTCGTCGGTTGAAGAAGATTGACGAATATTTTCGTCGGTCGAAATAACTTATTCCCCATATGAGGTGATTTGGGATTTTATTGTGTATTAATTTTTGCTCCGTAATAATAAATACATTGATCTCCTTTTGGATTATTTTAATATTTTATATAAGTAGGATCCCCTTGGATTATATACAAACGTATTTATTACCTTTACTATATACATGTTCCTGAAAAATTGAATTCGTTTGAGCTCTTTGGGGAGGAAGCGTGGATTTGTAAGCAGTGACTATTACGGCTAATAATGCAAAACTCTTCGTTAAATCGAATTGAGTTCTCTCAGTCACTGTGTGTTTATCTAAAAATAAATACGCTTGAATTCACCTTCATCCCTGCCGTGCGCCAAAGGCTTAGTGGTGGAATCCCTCGACTGACGCCAATTCAGTCGGGTTTCGATCCTAGCTAGAGGCAACCGGACGTCAATCACACTGATGAGCTGTGATACAGCGAAACAGTCTCTCTGTGGATGACAATATATATATATATATATAGATAGATAGATAGATAGATACTGGCCACTCGTATTCAGGATATCCGTCTGCTAGCAATCCCTATTGCAGACGCTTGCTCAAGCACATTTATTTATACTGTAACTATTTAGTTTCTGGGAGAGAGCGTGTTATCTAGCATGATCAGCAATTTGAACGAGGCCAACACGCTCAAGCCCTCGAGTTTCATATGGTTTTCAGACACTTTCCAAAGTTGCCGCACGCTAGGATCGATCTCGATCCAGTCCGATAATCCTAGTCGTCTTGCTGACATTGGGTCTCATGGCTAGAAAGTGAACGTTCTAATCTCTCAGCCATGCGCCCATACTGGACTTATAACCTGAATCAGCGGTAAAATGAGATTTTGAAGTTCCATGAATTGAATTGAGAAATTCAAAGTTATTCATATATTAAGAGATTAAGCAGATAGATTGATAGATACAAACAGGTTGTAACAGATAGATTGAAAGAAAGAAAAAAGAAAGTAAAAATGAAAGAAAGAAAAGAACACTTTCAGATAGAAACAGTTTCTGATAGATATCTATCAGTTTAAAACCTAAATTGAAAGCTTAGAGGATAGATAGATAGATAGATAGATAGATAGATAGATAGATAGATAGATAGATAGATAGATATGGAAAGATCTAGACAAACTGAGATGGATGTAAACGCGCCAAAATATATATGAACTAAAAGAAAGAATGAGATAGATAGATAGATAGATAGATAGATAGATAGATAGATATGAGCAGACTGAGATAGATAGATAGATAGATAGATAGATAGATAGATAGATAGATAGATAGATAGATCCAGCTTAGAAAAGGCCATGATAATTTTGAAGAAATAACTTTGAATTCCTCAATTCACTTCAAGAAACTTGAAAACCTCACTTTAACTCTGATTCAGGTTATATGTCCAATTCTTGCTAAAAGACTGATTTGAGCCGAAACTCCAATTTGGGCCGAAACTCCAATTTGGGCCGAAACTCCAATTTGGGCCGAAAATTGAGTTCTTCACCCACTCAGTAGAGCTTCAATTGAGTTCAGTTCTTCTAATCACAAACTATGCAGAACTTCAAAACCTCACATCACGAAACCTCTTAACTCTTTAATTCTGATTCCTTGGCATTTTGAAGAAATAAAATTAATTTCCCCAATTTACAAAATTTTGGAGATATTTTAAACTGAATTTAAAACAATGAAATTTAAATTCACAAAGTTTTTGTGTCAATCTAAACAATATAAATTTTAAAATCACTATTTTTTTTTTCAGTTATTATAAATTTAAATTTTTAACTGTTCCCTCCTCACCCAGACACAAATCCTAATGCTGGATGTTCAAGCACCCGATGAAGGGCAGATTTTCAATATCGGGTTCATCCTGATTCCTAAAAGTTATAATATATCTATCCGTGGCCCGATTGAGAGGGGTTTCAGACAAAAAGACGGACAGATTTTGAGTTTATTTATTTATTTTGAAGATTATTGTTAATCTCTTAGTTTACCTAATAAGTTCGACAGTAAGAACGAATCTTCTCTCCAACACATTACTTTTATTATAGTACATTGTTATAATTGTTCTGTTTTAGTTTGGTTTTATTGTTTTAGTTTAACGGCATATCAACATCTCTATGGGTTATTTAATGCCAAATTCTAAATATTTAGTACGCAATTTTATGGCTTCAACGACAAATATTTTGTACATAATTTTACACTTTAAGGGTAAACGTATGTTTTATAGATATGTAGTTTGTATGTGACTTAGTTTAGATGTTATATGTTTTAGTATAAAACTATTCTATAAACTAGTACATTATGTTGATGTTTTCAGTATTTTCAAATAGGCAAAGAGGTGATCTCGTTGGAATGGTCATTCAATATATTCTACAGCCAACTGCGCAGTGTTCTATTTTATTATTAGTTATTATTGTTAATCTCTTATGCCTACTTTTTTTTTTATTATTAGTTATTGTTGGTAATCTCTTATTATGCCTAATACGATTTACGGTAAGAATGAATCTTCTATCCGTTGCATAACTTTTATTAGTCTGTTGCTATAATTGTTCTATTTTATTACTAATTATTTTTATTAATCTCTTATCGTGCGTAATATTTAAATTAAAATTTAGCATAGGTAAATTAATGTTTCTCATATGTGTATAGAGGTTTCGGTACGATGTACGGTTTCGAGAATCCGTTGTAATTTACGAATAAGTAAGGACTTACTATGCCCCCCTATATATATATATATATATATATATATATATATATATATATATATATATATATTGTGTATATTTAGGCAGCAATTTTTCAGTAATGCATGTTTCATTAAATAATAAATATAGACAAGTTTTGTCTATTTATTTTAAGTAAGTTACTTTCATATTGCATGATAAGCTTAATCACATCGTTGAAAGACGAAAGGAAATCACCATATTGATACATGTTTAAATCCAATATAAGTTTTCGGTTTACACAAGCCATTATCAAAGATGACAATTTCAATAAATCAAACAACACGCGGACTAAACAAAAATGAAACAATTTCCAAGTAACGACAAACTCGTATATACGAGACGCGGAAGCAAAAATTGCTATATTAAGTATGGGAAGCCGTTGGTATAAACCAATGGCTTCTGTTATAAATTATAGGCATTTAAGAATATTTGTGGAGATTTCATAGTTTATTTTGTTCAGGTTAGGTTTCAACTGTTTTATGTATATAGCTTCAAGAATTTTTAATTTTTTTTATTGTTTTCATATTTAACGAAAGTTGTGTTGTCAACGAGGATTATCCGGAATTTCGTACCAGCCAGGCATGTTGTTTTAAATGTCTAAAAATGTTAGAGTTATCATTTAAATGTAGAGTCAAGCTCCGTGAAAGCGAGTTTGTGATGTGACCAACATAAATATTACTTAATCCGTTGGAAATACAATCTCCCAAAGGCACTTGAATTTGTAAACTATCTTGGTTTTCTGCAAGTCGTTAACGGGGAGGGGGGGAAGAATCATTGCGAATAGTTAAGTTAGATATACTAGATTTAGTGTAGTATATGATTAAATTACTTTTTTTGCTAGGATCTGTTGTGGATATATTAGTATTTACTAATATTTTTAGTATATTTTCATTTTGTTCATAATTAGTATGCATTTGACTACGATAAAAGAGATTAATATGTTTGGAATTAGTTGAAGCAGTGTTATGTAGAAGTCTTAATACTACGCAAATAGAATATAAAATTGCTTCAACTAATTCCAAACATATTAATCTCTTTTATAGTAGTCAAATGCATTGAGTACGCGGGCATATATGTGTGTGTGTGTGTGTGTGTGTGTGTACTGATCTATTCGCATCTATTACAGTCTCTTCCTGTTTACCTTTCGACCAGTTTAAAAAAAAAAAATCTCTCCATTTATTCTTTTGTCAAATGCAGATAGACATTCACATCCTAAATGTCTCCATTGTCACTTATGTATGAATGCTGTTTTCTTTAGCCTTCCATTATAAGATTTCTTTTCTCTTTCAAAACTTGATTCCAATTGTTAGAATTTGGTATTTATAAACATGACCAAACGATACTTACTGCAGTGATTTTAACATATATATTTGACGCATATACTTACATTTATATATATATATATCTCGGATACTGAACACTTTTACCGCATAAATACAGCATACATTTAAACTATATATACATATGTATGTGTGTGGGTGTTCACTCGTTATCAGTGCTGAATAAATCTCTTTCCGATTAAACATTAGTCCAACATAGCAAATGTAAATTCAGTTATCGTCTTTTTTTGCACAAGCGTCTGACTAAAGGGCAGGTAACTCTTTTTATGGCCACCATGCAAACAGAGACAGTGATGCTGAAAAGGATGACAAATGGTTAGAAATAATTGAAAGATGGGACCAGATAGAAAAAGAAAACTATGATCTCTCTCTCTCTCTCTCTCTCTCTCTCTCTCTCTCTCTCTCTCTCTCTCTCTATATATATATATATATATATATATATATATATATGTGTGTGTGAGAGAGAGAGAGAGAGAGAGAGAGTTTCGTGGCCTAGTGGTTAGAACTTTCGCTTTTTGACCATGAAACCTGAGTTGATTTGTCAGGGATCAGACTTCCTGATGTTATCGGTCTGGTGTAGGGGGCGATCCCAACGTGTGATCTCTTTGGAAAGTGCCTGAAAAGCCATACCACAGGTTGACCCAGGCCTCGTGAATAAAATTGGGTAGACGTAACACTTGGGGGCCGTCAATAGCTGCGCAAGAACGAAGTCATAAGTCAGGTTTTTAATGTGCTGTCCTTGTTCAAATTGTTGATCACGTTAGATAACACGCTCTCTCCCAGAAACTCTAACTAAGGTCTGCTCAGTATTGTTGCAGTAGAAACCACAGGTGGGTTCTGTGGGTGTTGAAAAAACACAAAATGTGCCTGAGAAGGCGTCTGCTATAGGAGTTGGCTAGCCGCTCTAATTGACGGGTATCCTCAAATACGAATGGCTATATATATATATATATATATATATATATTATAATTTTATCATATCGACAAAACCATTTTATTCACTACAAAGATGCAACTTGGTTTCAATGCATTTCAACTGCACTTCGACGGGTGAGAATCGAAAATGGTTATGAAGAATCCTGCTTGTAGGCAAGTCGTATGTGAAGTGAAACCAATTTGCATGTTTGTAGTGAGTAAAATGGTTTTGTCTATATGATAAATTTATAATAAATAAATAATTATCTCTCTACTATCGGTATCGAGCCCTCTTTTGGATTAATGCTGTGAAAGTTGGAATTTATATATTACTTTCGATCTCATCGCATTGGATATATATATATATATATATATATATATATATATATATATATATATATATATATATATACATGAATCATTCATACAAAAAACAAATATAGAGGTTAATGATTTAAATGGCGAAATACATCTTCATAAACAATTTCAATAAGTTACACAAACCCTGAACCTGTATATGATCCTGTTTAAAATTCAAGATAAGGTGTTCCCTGTTTATAAATTCAAGTTTGGAAATAGATTTTTTTTGTTTTTATTTCTCGCTAAGAGGACAACGAAAAATATAGATGATTATTACCGAGAAGTAAAAAACCAGAGCGAATTTATTTTTACCTTGTCTGTAGGAACAGACGAAAGCTTGTAAAAACTAAAAAGACCTTATGAAACTGAAATTTAAATACAGGATCATATTTCCATAGGTTCGGGGTTAGTGTATCTTATTGAAATTGTTTGCGAAGATGTATTCTTGCCATTTAAATCATTAACCTCTATATTTGTTTTTTGTATGAATGATTCATGTAATTATAAATTAAAACTGCACCTAAAAACGATATATATATATATATATATATATATATATATATATATATATATATATATATATATATATTAACTAAATGCCGAAAAACAAAGAGAGTGAAGGGGGGTAAATTTGGAAGAAAGGAAAAATGGAAAATAATAAGAAAAGGAAAGGAAGTATTGGAATTAATTAATTTTATTTGTTCTGCGAAACAGGACGTTTTCACACGAGCGTTTCGTTTTCCTGTTAACAATATCTTTGTTGGAATAACGTGTGTGTATTTTTTTTATATATATTTTTTTTAATGGGGAGTGAACTTCAACACGGGAAAAATGACGTGCACACAGTTTAGGAGTTGTGTGTTTGATTTAAGTGTTCAATATGGAATGAGTAGTAACTGATATATCCACCATCTTGTGTTTTTATTTGTTTCTGAGTGTCTTGAATGTTGTAGGTGTTGTGCGTTGCGTATATGTGTGTGTGTAGTGAGTTCTGTGTAGAAATGTGTAGGCTTTTGTGTTCGTTTTCTGTTTCTCCTTTTCCTCTTTTGTCCTGATTCATTTTCCTCTTTTATTTTTGCGGGCCTTCAACGCGACTCCATGTCTCTCAACTGTCTCTACTTTTTATTGCTTGCATGCATTTTTATTCCTGCCATAGGCTTTCGCATACAGACAAACAAATGTCTTGTTATACGATACATCTCATTATCGAGTTATTACGGTTTGTCTGGGAAAACGCCACAACTGTGGCCCATGCAGAGAGGAACGAACTCAGTCCCTAACGAATTCGCAAGCCCTACAGTTATATCGCCAGTTATTTAATACGTTAACTCAGTTTAATGATTACTTGTATTATTTACATTATTCGGACTCTTATCCTCATCGTCATTGCCGTATTCACAACGTTTGTGCCTCTATATCTCTGAGATGAGGTATTATGATTATTTGCCTTATTTACATTATTCGGACTGTTATACTCATCTTCATTGCCATATTCACAACTTTGCAGCCTGTATACCTCCGAGATAAGGTATTATGATTACTTACATTATTTACATTATTCGAACTGTTATCCTGATCTTCATTGCCATATTCACAAAGTTTCGGCCATTGTACGCTCCGGCCTTCTTCAGGTGATTGGAATTTCGAACCGAACCCTTTATTTCGTCCACCGGTGTCGATTGTTCTAATTCCATGTGCCATGCCTCTTCCAGGTATCTCCAGTTATTTCCTTTTAACTCAACTAGTACAAGGGAACAGCAGTGGTGAACCAAATTTGGAGAGTTGAGTTAAAGAGAAGTAGCTAAGTGATATAATGGAATAGGCATACACCTGAGTTCCCTTCACTGGAATATGATTGGCTGGTGTCAGTCATAAATACAGACGGAGGTCTAGGTACGACAGAGTTTAAGTCTATGACGACGCCCATTGGACTACGCCATTAGCTATTCTATTGTTCTACACCTATTACCTGCGACTACAAGTACCAGTCGATTACTGCTACTGGGTACTACTTGGATTACAGTAACCAAAACCCACTTAGCTACTACGATCAAATATATCCCTTTCCGGGATATATCACTAAGTCATCCGGAAGAGGCATGACACGTAGAACTAGAACAATCTACACCGATGGGCGAAATAAACCGGTTCGAAATTCTAATCAAGGGCGGAACGTACAAGGCCGGAGCGTACAACGGCCGAAACGTTGTGAATATCGCAATGATGATGAGGATAACAGCCCGAATAATATAAGTAATCATAAAGACGACATCTCAGAGATATAGACAGTTTAATGATGCATGTTATATGACACTCCGTGATGATCCAACTCACGGCAATAACTATAAATGGTTTATGAGAGAACCTGGTTAGCCATCGCGCTATATTAGAAGTTTTATTATGCCCACACATATAAAAATCGTAAACCAACTGATACTCATCTGTAAATAATGCACTCCACGGGCCAATTTCTTAACATATTACTGTCTAATAAAGCAAATAATTGTATCCTTAGATGATGAAATTTTATTTACTAATGTACCGGTCAAAGAAACTATAGACATAGCCTTACAGAATGGATACATTAATACATCTTACCTACCTCCTAAAATTAGGGAAATTATTCTACGAAAACTCCTTTTATGCTACACGACACGAGTACCTTTTTTCCGACCATGATGGCAAAAAAACGATTATCCTGATAAATCGTAGCATAGTGAGATTCGAACCTGGGTTGCATGTTTGAAAAGCCAACGGTCTAATCACTTAGCCACGCTCCCATTACTTCTTTTTTTTCTCTTTTTATATTCCGTGACCCTTCAAGACGTAGGCGATCATGGCTCTCCACTTCTCCCTATCTCTTGTAGCGCTCAATAAGTTTCGTCCCTCTGCCAACTCCCCCAGACCACGTTCTGTCATCCACTTGTTTAAAGCCGCCAGGTATGTCACGCGTTGCTTACCTTTGTCACTCTTTCCTTCTATTCGACCTGTGAGTATCAGATTCTCCAGACCCTCCTTTCTCATTACGTGTCCCCCAAAATTTTCAGCTGCCTCTACCTGATGTTACGTATAAGCTTCCCCCTTGTTTGCATCCTCTCCAAAACTTCATCGTTGCTCACACGCTCGATCCACGATATCCTTAGCATCCTTCTGTAGAACCATACCTCCGTTGCCTCGAGTCTCTTCTTCGTCTTTGAGAACGTCCAACATTCGCTGCCGTAAAGAAGGAAAGATGTCACGTGGCAGCTAAATACTCTTTTCTTTGTTACCAAATCTTTTTGTCCAGCTTTTGGAATGAGTCTTTGGCCATCTCAATACGTCTTTCGATTTCAGCGTCGCACTTACCGTCCTCCAGCAAAACACTGCACAGATATTTAAACTTCTCCACCTGCTTGATTTTACTGTCCCCGACCTGCAAATCGCATTTCGGGATAATCTTTTTAATGATGACCATGCATTCTGTTTTCTTGTAGTTTGTGCTTAGTCCTTTCTTCTCGCTCTCCTTCGTTACCTTCTGTAGGAGGTTTTGTAATTTCTTTTCCGTGTCTGCTGTCAATACTATGCCATCTGCGTATCTTATGTTGTTAATATTGTACCCGCCAAATATGAATGATCAAATTTATTTAGTTGATATAGGTGTTATTATAGACAACCAAGTTTCGAACAAGTACCCTCTGGTCATCATCATCTGGTCTAAACGCTGTGTCTATAATAACATCTATATTAACAAGGATGGGAACGGGAGTTCGAAATAATACAAGAATATTGACAATTACTCATATCGGAAATGAAATACTAATTAGGAAAAGCGGTACGAATCCAGCATCATCATAACCAAAAACATCTGGTATTGAATATAAAAGATAGATATGAAGAGACTGAAATGGGTATGATTAGATTCAGATAGATAAATACAGAGGAACACACTGAGAGAGAGAGAGAGAGAGAGAGAGAGAGAGAGAGAGAGAGAGGAAGCGATTCTAATAGATAGATAGATAGATAGATAGATAGATAGATAGATAGATAGGAGCAGGTTTTAGAATATATATAGATACAAACAGGTTGTAATAGATAGATATGAATAAAGCTAGCAAGCTAAATAGATAGAGAGATAGAAAGAAAGAAAGAAGGTTGTGATAGATAGATAGATAGATAGATAGATAGATAGATAGATAGATATGAGCAGGTTGAAAATAGAATATATATACAAACAGGATGTAATAGATAGATAGATATGAATAAAGCTATCTCGCTAGCTAGCTAGCTAGCTAGCTAGATAGATAGATAGATAGATAGATAGATATGAGCAGGTTGAAAATAGAATATATATACAAACAGGATGTAATAGATAGATAGATATGAATAAAGCTATCTAGCTAAATAGATAGATAGATAGATAGATAGATAGATAGATAGATAGATAGATAGATAGATAGATAGGAGCAGGTTGGAAATAGAATATATATAGATACAAACAGGTTGTAATAGATAGATATGCATAAAGCTAGCATGCTAAATAGATAGATAGATAGATATATAGATAGATAGATAGATAGATAGATAGATAGATAGATAGATAGATAGATAGATAGATTACTTATATGATGGCTGAACAGAATCCAAATGGGTCAACAGCCAAACCATATAAACTTAATGATACCAAGTTATAAATGCTAACAGATTATTGAAAACGAATTATACGATTGTTAGATTGATGCTATTAGTGTTTATAATGTTGACTCTTTTCTATCTGAGTGGCTGTTAGATTGCAATCGTCGCACTTCTCTTTCTCTAGTTAAGGGAAATCAAATGCGCCTATGAAAATATCAGCAGTTTTGAAAGTAAAATGAAAATCAGTCATACATTAAATGGCTGCCAATAAAGCGCGATGGCTTTTACCAAACATGACATTTTCATAGGCTTTCATGATCTCCATAGAAAACATACCGGGGATGGCAAAGCGATTCTATTGTAATCCATTCGCTAATAATGAGAGTATTGGATTTTCACTGACAAAAAGGACACTATCTATGACGGCTATGAACACAGATACGAGGGAATGCTGAAAAATTCAAAGATTAATGCTTTCGGAATTCTTGTATGGTCGGACCGAGAAACATTTTAGCCACGTCTTGGATTTTTTTTTAATGCCATTCACCATCATTACGTAGGTGATCATGACTCCTCAAAGACTGCATTTTTTGATTTTTACATTGCCAAGGATTTTTGGAGAAAAGGGAGTGTGTTTGTTTTGTCGTTTTTTTCCTTTTCTAACGGTTTGGAATTCAGGGTTTTCCTTCTCTTAGACTAGCTGCCACTCAAGACTAGGGACCCCTGCCTACACAACTATTTAGCTACATGCTTGGAAGTTGAAAAAGAGATAGGGCATTAGTAGGAAAGTGATTGCAGAGAAGTAGCTTGGAATTTTAACTCGGCTCACCGATTACACACCCCTAACGATAACCGTTGCTCTAACAGTACTATCCTAACAGATAGATAGATAGATAGATAGATAGATAGATAGATAGATAGATAGATAATAACCAAGTGAGAATGAAAGAAAGAAGGAGATAGATAGATAGATAGATAGAAACCGAATGAGATTAAAAGAATGAATGAATGAGATAGATAGATAGATAGATAGATAGATAGATAGATAGATAGATAGATACATACAAACTTCAATAGGATACATACATACATACAAACTTCAATAGGATACATACATACATACATGCTTATATACATGCATATAAACATATAAATCATAGATAGAAACAGTTTCTAATAGATAAGACATGAATAGATAGATAGATAGATAGATAGATAGATAGATAGATAGATAGGAACAGGTTGAAGATAGAATATATATACACACAGGTTGTAATAGATAGATAGATAGATAGATAGATAGATAGATAGATAGATAGATAGATAGATAGATAGATATGAATAAAGCTAGCTAGCTAGATAGATAGATAGATAGATAGATAGATAGATAGATAGATAGATAGATTTTGAAAGGGATAGAGATAAAGTGGAAGTCCAGATAGAGAGGTAGATGGATATATACATACATATATACATACACACATAAACATCAATAACATAGATAGATAGATAGATAGATAGATAGATAGATAGATAGATAGATAGATAGATAGATAGAATTTATTTGAAAGGGATAGAGATAAAGTGGAAGTCCAGATAGAGAGATAGTTGGATATATACATACATATATACATACACACATAAACATCAATAATATAGATAGATAGATAGATAGATAGATAGATAGATAGATAGATAGATAGATAGATAGATAAAACAATGTGATAGCTAGCTAGCTAGCTAGATAGATAGATAGTGCATCATTTGAACTGATCGTTATTATCGGCGTGGATTTGTAGTAATTCCTCCATGCCAAGATATTTTCTCCTTTTTAGATTAGACAAACAGCAATACTTCTAAAAATCTACATGGATTCGAACCTGTGAACCTTTGTCATATATCTGATGCCAACAACTAATCCCTTCTGAACTGATGATAACTGCAAACATGTGGTACTTTTTGCACAATTGCCTAAACTTCACGGAGGCTAATGAAACTGAGCGCTCCTTCAAGATGTCGGAGAGTTGTTTCGATATTCGACCCTGATTCATTCCGTCGGCGATCATCCGCAAATTTTGTCGGAGATTTGCGACCGCTGAAGCATGAGCCCTATTTCACTGGGACAGCCCTACGGAGATCTCCTGGTCTTACCAATTGCTAATCTATCTCTTTCGCTTGGCCTGTGACAATGTCAAGAAAAGCTGATAAACACATAGTTTTCTTTTGAATTACCTGTTGTAAAGGGGTGAGAAGAGAAGGAAAATGAATTTGGTGTAGCAAATCTCAAAAATTCAAAAGAAAGAAATAAAGAAACAAAACGATGACGAAGCAAAAAGAAATGAAGTGAAAAACCAATCGCAAATAGTTGACGAAAGAATAAACAAAATGGCTGACGGCAAAGTATAGAAGACAAATTGGAAAATAAATGGAAACAAAAAAGGATGAAAAAGGAGAGACAATCTTTGAGGATGAAAAATGAAGAATAAATAAAATGGAGAATGTAATGAAGAGAAAATGTGTACAAAGAAAAATAAAGAATCGAAAAGGTAAAAATTTAAGAAGACAATATGCAAGTTTAGTGAAATTTTGTTGAAAAAAAAGAAGCTAAAAAGAAGAAGAAGAAGAAGAAGAAGAAGAAGAAGAAGAAGAAGAAGAAGAAGGGAGAGTGGCGGGGAGAGTTAGAGAATGATGACAAATATGAAAAAACAGGCGACAGAAAGTTTAAAATACCGGAAAAAATGGATAAATAGAAGCAACAAAGAACAAGGAAGAGGAAGAGGAGGAGAAATATTGGCAAAAGATATAAAAACTGAGAGAGAAATACTGAACTTAGAAAATGATTTGAAGAAGAAGGAGGGGGGAGGAGAAGAAAAAAAAACAGAAGACCCATTTAACTCAGAATAATTTTAAGAATATGGAGATTAATTTGTGGGAATATTTGAAAGAGAATTTGAAGAAGAAGAAGAAGAAGAAGAAGAAGAAGAAGAAGAAGAAGAAGAAGAAGAAGAATTCGGAAAAAGAAGAATTTAAAGAAGAATTTGAAAAAGAAGAGGAATTTGAAGAAGAATTTAAAGAAGAATCTGAAGAATCTGAAGAAGAAGAAGAAGAATCTGAAGAATCTGAAGAAGAAGAAGAAGAAGAAGAAGAAGAAGAAGAAGAAGAAGAAGAAGAAGAAAGACACAGGAAAACTACGAAATTAAGGACAAACATAAATATCAGGGCTTCTCATCGCATTTTGGGTACCTTTTTCATTTTCTTGATCTTCCATGTGGAATATCTATCACGAGTCCTCACGCGTTAAGAGATTTTAGTCATTTATCAGGAATCTCGATAGTTACTGGACGAATGGCCATTATTTCCAACTGGGACACCTTTCTAGAATAGTCTCAATCGTTTTCCCCGCCATTTCATATAACCATGTCTTTCTCTATTTGTAATGTCGCTTCCTCCTTTTGTCAAATACACTTTTATTAAATCTTCATTTCTTATTTATGAAAATAATAATCAATTGTTTATTGATCACCTTTCTCACTGTTGTTTTTATTTGTTTACAAAATCGTTCAAATATTGATAAATTTGCACAACATTTTTTTTTTTAACTTACAATCGAAATTAGATAACATTGTCGTAAGAAAAATATCGATTATTGACATTCGACAAAATGAAAATAATGGATATCGCTTTCAAAAGGCCACTGGCTCCAGTGTTTTCTCTTATATAATAAAATAAAGTGCGATCCATATGTCTACTGGAAGATGGATTAAATTAAGGGCGAAGAGATAAAGAATTGATCTTATTTGGAAGATGTTACTTAATCAGTTAAAAGGTTGTAAAAAAAAAAGAAATAAAAAAGAACCTATTGAATAGGAAAATAGAGAGAAAAGAAATGGGAGAGTAATAAAATGGAAAAGTAGAAGGAAAAGCAATGGAAGGCATAATAAAGAAGAAGAACAACAACAACAGCAACAAGAAAAAGAAGATGAAAAACAAGATGAAAAAGAAGAAAAAAAAAAAAAAAGAAGAAAAAGGAGAAAAAAGAAGGAAAAGAAAAAGAAAAAGACGAAGATCTGAAGAAGAAAAAAGAAGAAAAAGAAGATGAAAAAGAAGAAAGAAGAAAAAGTAGAAAAAAAGAAGGAAAAGAAAAAGAAGAAAAAGGAAAAAAGAAGAAAAAGATGAAAAAGAAGAAAAAAGAAGAAAAAGAAGGAGAAAAAAGAAGGAAATGAAGAAGAAAATGACAAAGAATAAGATTAAAAGAAGAAAAAACAAGAAAAATAAGAAAAACAAGAAGAAATAGAAGAAGAAGTAAAAGGAAAAAGAAGAAAAAGATGATGATAATGATGATGAAAAAGAAGAAAAAGAAGTAGAAGAAAAAAAGAGAGAAAAAAAGAGAGAAAATAAGAGGAAAAAGAAGAAGCAGAAGAAGAAAAAATTGATTTGTTGTTATTTTTTACGGTTTATCAACTTTAGAGGCATAAAAATATTTGTAGAAAATTGTTAAAATCTTTCCAAAATGATTCTATTGATTACCGACTAATTTTCGAAAGTTTGAATAAAATCCTATAATTATCTGATTTTTTGAGAGATTAAAAATTTAAGATTTTTTCTGTATCCAACATCAGGATTTTATTGCTTAACACAAGGTACGTGTTGTCCAGACTGAGTGGAGACAGCTGTATTATTCTAATATCTTATTTTAAACTTATTCGGATTGTGTGCGTGTGTACGCGCGCGCGTGTGTGATTATGTGCACGAGCTTGTGTATACACTAAATGGCGCTCACGCACAAATTACTACAAACTATATTTTCGTAAATACCCGTATTTGAGTAAACGCTCCGTTTTTTAAAACTTTGTTTATTAATTCTTCCGGTCTGTGCACTCGAGAAAATAAAGGAAATATGCCCTTTTTGCAGGATTTCAACCGGTGTCTTTCTTTGCAGGAGAAACCAATGCCGGGTTCTGCTAAAGAGAACATCACAGTCAAACATGGTTTTTATTTACCTAAAAGCACATTCACTAGTTCCGATTTTCTCGGATGCCATATTTGTTCAGTTTCGAATCTGAAACGTAAACAAAGTAGTTTACAAAGAATTAAGACGTTTTATTTTTTAATCCCATGTAAGAGGTGCGATGGATAAATTGTCGTCAAAATTACGCGAAAATGAAAAAAATATTGGACTACATTTTACCCACATGAATTTAAGAGTGCTACTAAGTTGTCATCTCAGTCCCATCCTTTCACTGTCGAAACGGTTAAATGTTGCCGCCTCTTCTACTCCAATAGATCCATGTCTCGCATTCCCCGTGTGTTGAACTCCCTTCTTCTTACTTGCTTCCCTGATAGCTATAATCTTCAATTATTCAAATGCAATGTCAATCGTCATATCCAGATGCCTTGATCTATTCCACGTCCATCTCTTCATTCTTTCCTCTTTCACGCCTCTTTACTCTTGCTCCCAATCCTCTGTAACCCCTTGCGTGCAAGTGGCACTCCCGCCTTGCTTGGGGTGAAATACTTAAAAAAAATAACTGCCAAAACTACACAAAAATATCTTGAAATACTAAAGAGTAAATTTATTCAATAAAATCGCCATTGACTTCAACCACGGCTTCTGGGTGACTTCGAAATCTCCTGCATCTCTTCTGAACGGTCTCCTTGATTAAGATGGTGACTGCTGCAATAATCCTTGCTTTCAGTTCATCTTTGGTGTTACAAGGAGATTTTTTTTGGTCTCTCGCTCAACTGCGCCCCACATATAATAATCAAGGGGATTGCAGTCTAGGGAGTTAGATGGCCAGATATAAGGGGTGATGTGGTCGCAGATGTTGTCTGACAGCCATGACTGGATTCTGCTGCTTGTGTGGCATGGTACAGAGTCCTGTTGTCAGATATAGAGTTTTTTCCAGCAGCCACATAAACATATAAACATAAAAATGTCTTTATATATATATATATATATATATATATATATAAAATTGTATCAAAATTAAAATGTTTCGCTGGTCAGTATACAGTTGAGTATATTCTTATTGAGATCCTGACGAGCAAAACATCATGAAACTGAGTCGATCTTCGATAATTATCGTGAACTTTTAATATGCTTGTGTTCTTGGTGGTGGTGGCGGGTGAGGTTAATAATAATAATAATCAGAAGAAGAAGAAGAATTTCAAAAACAGTCAAATTATAAGGACCTGCAAATCTGCAAAGTAACAATAATGTGGAAACTTAAAACTACGATTATCCCTATTGTAATAGGGGCATTGGATATGATAAAAAAAATGGCTACAGAAAATCATGTGAGTAAAATTTCTGGACACGTCGGCATTTCACACCTACAAAAGGTTACTTCGTGCGAACTGCACATACTATCCGAAAACCCTCTCCATCTAAACGGAACGTCCCAAATGTGCATAGATAACTCTCCTACATTGCCCTTTTTTACTCATAGACCCTGGAGGGGACTAGACACTTAAATTTTATTCTCTGGCAACAACAACAGCAACAACAACAATAATAATAATAATGTGGCACAATTAATTAAAAGACGCCTTTCCATCTCGGAAATCCTTATCAGGGAAACAGACGCACGACAAATAATCGCTTTAAAAATACTAAGCCACTAAAGTGACTCATGCAGTCTACAACGTGAGTTGGCGGGTTGGAATGAAAGATGGCGCCACCGGTCCGCATCTTTCTACAGCGATTGTACATTTTGACGTTTCTTATTTCCTTGTCATCAGGGAAAATATTTATCAGAGTTGGCATCGCTACGTTCTCGCACTGATGACAATAAGATCTATGGTGGGGGGGGGGCTTACGTTGAAAACACTTGCTGATGCTTCAAAACAACGCCATTTGGATGGCCGTCATGTTTGCAATACAAACGCATTTAGTCACTATTCAATAGTTTGTAAGCTTTCGAGAATAAACAAAAGTACAAAATGAATATTCTGATATATAATAATGCGTAATGTGGGTTGCTAAAAAGTTCAGGGCTTGATCAGTATGCCCTTCCTTAAAAGTTCTGATGATTATTCATTCGGAAACGTATATATATATATATAT